ATCAATTACAATCTTTTTCTCTTAAAATCGTAACAATCACTTAAAATCAATGTTGAATCAAAAGGACAGCCTTCTACAATCAGCATTAAATCGCAACAATCAAATACAATCATTCATTAACGAGGGGGAAATCACTTGGATCCGTAGCGTACGGGCTATTTCTGGTATTTCACGAGTATTTCTCGAGCCATTTCGGTTATTTCTCGCCTATTTCGGATTATTTCAGGGTATTTCGCGGTTTTTCGGAGTATTTCAGGGGTATTTCGCGACTATTTCACCGACTATTTCGCGTCTATTTCGGGTCTATTTCGCTCTATTTCGGGTCTATTTCGCTCTATTTCGCCTTTATTTTGGACTATTGCGGGGGAAGGTGTACGAACTATTTCGCAAGTGATTTCCCCCTCGTTCATTAACTCATCACAATCCGTCGTTGAATCATTACAATAACCAAGAATCACTTCTAAGACCATCGTAATCGAAGCATGGATCATCCGACACCTCAAATATCTCTGTCCTCAGTTGTAATTTTTACGACTGAATCTCTTATCCGGCGTCCAACAATCTTATATAAATCGTTTTAAATCAACGTCAATTGACCACAATCATTCTTAAATCACTTAAATCTTTCTTGAATCTCTCTTGAACCACTAAGAATCACACACAATCATGATTTTTTCACCAACAATCACCAACAATCATCACAATCACTTCAATCATGTAGAATCATTACAATAATTTAAATCATCCTGAATCATTTACAATCACCTACAATCATTTACAATCAAATGTGATTTAAATCGCTGTACACCATTTTGAAGAGTGAGGTACCCCTCGTCTAGTTTACATTTTTCCGAGTCATTTTTCACACTTTCATGGCCACGCATTTCCACGACGACGACTGGCGACGACAACTCACCAAGTAAGCATAACTGATTTACACTTGTTCGTGTGTAACTGCAAGTTGGATACTTCAGAGTGTTCAACTAACTCCGTGTAGTTGTGCACTTGTAAGTATTCCAGTCGGTAGCTAGCTGTGCACTTGCAATTGGACGCTTCCTACTATATGTGGAAGGTGTTAAACAGAGGAGATCGCCCAATTACAAGCGCACTACTTCGCAGTTCAACACTTGCGACAAATAAACTTGCAGTTGCACAGTCACAAGTGGTGCGCAACTTTGGTTTATCAATGTTTGCTGGAAGTGCTGCGGCGACAGAGCCGGGCTGTGTCAGAGCCCTTCATGCGCCCACGACGACCCCCAACACGCGCCCGTATAGCGAGTGTCCTCACCAAGGTCCTCACGCACCTCGTCGTCTGCGAGACAAGACACAAAATAGCTGGCCAATTAGGTGCTGTAGTGTGCGCGTGTGCAAGGGGGTGTGTTTGTGTGTCACAAAGGCCCCTTGACTGCGCCCGCCCCGCCCCGCTCCGCCTCGCCCCTCCACGACCCTGTATTACGGTAGTTGTTCCTTCTCTGCGGCGCTGTTATGGGTCCTGCCTCACGGACCTCATGAAGTGTTCAAGGACACACGCGCATTACGTCGTCTGAGCGGAGGGGCAGGCCCGACGCGGCGGCGACTTACGAGGCGGGTGGGGGAGCGGAGGGAGGCAGAGGGAGACAGGGTTAGAGAGAAGGAAGGGGAGAGAAGATAGTGAGAGAGGGTAAGGCAAAGCCGCCGCCGCCCGCCACCAGTCGCTTAGTATTGACTCGAGTCAGTGCAAGAGGCGCTACCATGGCGCCGAGTATGAGCGTGTGTGGGCCGGGGGAGGGGTGGGGGATGACGGTGATGCTGTTGCGAGGGTGAAACTTTCCAGCTAATGTCAGCCCTTAAACCAGCACGTTTCGCACAGCGCTCGCCCGCCCGCGCGGGCAGAGGCAGAGCGCGCTCTCTGAGAGGGCCTGGGGGCGGGGCCCGGGGGCGGGGGACGTGAGAACTCTCGCCCAGCAGCGCGTACCAGTTTCTGCTGTTCGAGGCTAACGCTCCCATTTCCCCACCCCAGCAGAGCGGCATCAGCGGCGGCAGCGATGGCGGCGGGAAACACAAGCGATCTGCGAGACATCGTCGTCGCCTCCGCAAAAAAAAGGAAGAAAGAAAAAAAAGTTGATATTTTTCGGCTACAGTAGTTTTCTTTTGTTATTTCCACTTTGATGCTGTTTGCTTTTTTAGCCCCCTCCGCCTGTCTGTCTACTGTGAGCGTGTGTGCGCGCGCGGGGAGGATGCCCTTGTGGTGGAGGGCACCCTGTAATCCGTTAAGGACACTCAATCAGGCATCGGCCGGCAGCTGCTGACCGGAGAGGGCCGTCGTCGCCAAGGACCTTTTAGTGGACGAGGAGGACCTGCCTACGGAGGACTTGCCGGCGGCTGCCGAATGCGAGGAGGGGTGCGGTGGGAGGCGAACGGGAGGCGGCTGGGGTGGGGGGGATTTGCAGCTAGGATCTCATGAGGGCTCCGCTCGCCCCGGCCCGCCCCTCGCCGGGGGGATGAAGGGGTTGCTCTAAGCCCTAAAACAACATACCACCCAACCAAGCGACCAATATTACGTCGCCCGTTATTTGGGCTGGCGTGGCGACGGGCGACGTGGCCCCAGAACCGATCAGGAGAGCACACCCAGCCGCACTTCCCCGCGAGCGGGCGCGACGACTACGTGTCGCGGCACTGTCGATGCCGTGCATCACAACCTTGAAAGTGAAAACTAAGTTAGCAGCCCTCATGAAGGGTTATTAAAAATATGATCATGGTTAGAAAGCGGGGTATTTGATATTCCTGACGCTTACAACGTATTTATCAGTTGAGTAGAAGAGTATTTGTATGTGTGTGCTATGGAATCTTGAACTGCATATAGACTTTCCAAGAAAACTTTACGTTCAGTATTGTTTTTATTTGGATCCACTATAGTATAAATAAGATTAAGTTTGTCGTACTTCGTGGCCACCAATAACTTAAAAGAAAGTGCACTTTCACTTTTATATTGACTTAAGGGACAGCAACCAACTGTCTGTTTCACCGCGTTTCACTTGTGAAACTGGCGGCAGTGGGAGAGAGGCCGTTTGATTGGGG